AGCATACGGCATAATTCCCGGGCTTTGGATGGATCTGTGAGCATCTGAAAAAGAGCCTTGGCATGTTCGACACTTAAAGCATCGACAAGCTCTCGACATGGCGGCAGAAGGTCAGCCATACTGCATTCTAAGCACTTGGACCCACTGGCTGTGGAAAGCAGAACCTACACAAATAAGGACGTGAATGCCGACTTCCTATAAGCAGAATCCGAGGATTTTCAGCTAAAGCACGCCACAATGCTCTTCAAGGCTGTACAATGGAACTGTAGAGGAGATCACGCACTGCTGGAAAAGACAGCTGGGGCATGAGAAATGGCAAAATAGACTGACTAACATTTGGAAGCAGATGTGTAAATCGAAAGGTAGCACAATCATTGGATAAATCCGCAAAGTTGTGAGCCTGAAAACATCGTCCCATTCCCAACGTGATCCATCGACTCCATTGAATATGTTGTCCACGTCTGCATAAATCCGGCGAAATGCACAATGTCGGATCCACTCGAATAATGCTGCATACCATCAAGAAAGAGAACATGTGTATGAAGATACTTGGCTGTCTGCACAATTCAAGCAGCGTGAGCATGGTAGCTACCTCTGGCGATAAACGGCTGCGGTGAACGAATGAAAGTCTCGCTCAAAGGAAACAATCACATCAACATGCACAGTGATGGAGCAAGATCCGCACCTCGGACAATGATTACTTTTGGCAACCGTGCAACTGGTTAGTGCAAAGGGTGCTTGACACGTTTCAGCTCCATATACCCAATGAGGCTGGCGCAGAGCCGGTATCTGTCCTCAAGAGGCCGTTGGATCCAGTCAAAGATCATCTCTTTTTGCTGCGCCATTCGAACAAGCATCATAGTGTCGATCAAAGCCATGTGGTTGATCTGGCGTGAGTTCAGCGTCCACTGACAGACAGAAGCGGCACATACCATCTGAGGCAAAGCAGGTATAGCGAACATCACAGGGACGTACACAATAGGTCCCTGAATAAGTTCTTCAACCAGCATGAATCGACGAAGGCCTCTTGCCTGCTGACGAATCTCTAAGCGCTCAGGTCTGTTGTCAGCTCCATACGCATTGTGAATGATGACGCTAATAGCTCCAATGTCGCTCATATGCTCCACAATCAAGCTCTTGATGGCTCGGATCACGCGTTGCAAATATGTATGGTAGAGACCATCTTGTTCCGAATCCGGGATATATGGCCATAGTTCAGACCGTTGATCCGATTGATAGCCCGGAGCTCTCGAGAAGTAGAAAAATAATGTGCACGTTCGTTCAGCAATAAAGCTGAAGATGCGATCCGTCACATTGGGTAGACTGAAAATCTCTGCCATGGCTTATGTCTAAGTCTGCACGGAGTTAAGCCAAAAACCTATGAACAATGCCGAGAGCATCAGAGGGTACGAGCACACACTACGCTAACGATGGCTGCTGGTCTCCTTTTTTTATTCAGCCATCCAAGATTCCTGATCCGAGAAGGAATCCGCACTTTCGGATTCAGTAAGCAAACTGCACTGCCGTGCAGAAGACGAGAGAGAAAGCAAGGAAGGGGAGCGGCAAGGAGAGGGGGCAGACAGAGACACAGGAGAACGAAGGACGGAAGACGAGAAGGAAACGGCGGACCCACAGGAGACAAGAGACCGAGCAGACAAGGAGACAGAAGAGGAAGACAAGAAAGACGAAACAGGAGAGAGAGACACAGGGGCAGGACAAAGGGACGCCGAGAGAGGAACAAAGGGCAAAGACGGAGACGGAAGAGGCAGAGGAGCAACGGCAGCAAAAGGGGAAGAAGGCAGCGAAGAAAGAACGGGAACACGAACACCAAGAAAACGGGCAAAAGGAAGACAAGAGGCGAGGGGTGAGACAGGAATGTTCCTCTTAACACAGAAAAAGACCATCATGACTCTGTCCCCTTGAAAAGGCAAAGTGGCATGAATGGTATTGCCATCGAAACATACAGGATGGTGAACATCCAATCGTCGTCCAGGTAGGATATCACCAAGTGAGGCAACCTCGGCAGGCGGAATCTGTAACAACCAATTGGGAATCTCGATGTGGAATAGTTCGTAAATTGCGATTGATTTGAATACTGGTGCACTCAAAGTCTTGTAGATGGGGAAGCAGCTGTATGTAGCATAATATCAGTCTCGTCAAATTGGGAAATTTGAAGGTGTTTCTCGTGAATTGAAGTCGACCTCGCGACTGTACGCCTGAATATAGACCAAGGAGAATTTGGTCGGCATGAGTATGTTGATCCGACCGTACATTTTTCCTGGAATAATTCACCCATACATTATTCGGAATAGAAAAGAGAGCTTGATGAATAAGCTCTGAACATTGCTCCAGCGATTGTATCGCAGGAACGTGTACATTCGGATCCACCGGACTTCGTCGAATATGAGCCATTGCAGTGAACATGCCATAAGCCCAAAACTGCAGGCATTACCCATCACACGCACCTAAGAAGGCTGAACGAGCATCATAGAACAGGGCAGGTTTCTTCAAATCATGCAAACATGAGGCGGAGCAGATAATGCATCGCTGCTTTTTGGAAGAAGATCCTCACTCATCGGAGCGCGAGGCACTCAAAATGTGAGAAAGACGAAAGACTCCGGTCATTGGCAAATGCGGACATCACAATCTAAGAGAATGCCCTGACGCATGGTCTTAAATCCAGCACAAACAATAAGAAGCATATAAAAACACGCGCACAGCTCTAACCCATGCTCATCACTTTAGGACTGCCAACTGGACCAGAATGTGGCTGCACCGGTTAGGATGCTGCGAGACCTACGGAACAGCCATCGTCCATCAGTTCCATGAACCAAATCAAACGTGTGTCCGAAGACTGGGTCGGACGAGTGTGCAACCTTAGCATGTTTGTGTTGGCGGACCAAAGTCCATCCAATCGCCGCCACTGTCCTTGTATCGGATTCTTTCCCGCCGTACCGGCGGGCAGTGTGCATCGACGACGTCATGGCATACAAATGATCTGGTTGAGAGCCATCAAGCACAGGCTGACGAATGGCGGAAGTGGGATGCACCATGCGTCCGTAGAATCCCAGGGACGGTGGCCAAGTCTTGTCACCCCGATCATAATAGCTCGGCCGGATTACCCTCTGGTCAATAATCGATGACAGATCTTGACAAACCGGGTTGTGCACGAAGGGTACACTGTAACAGGTGTTGGGGTCGTCGGGAAGTGTGGTGCCCAGAATAAGGTAAATGCCGACAGGGGCTTCATAGCCCCCAGAATCATTGAA